TGGAATCCACACTTAGTCAAGCACGTCAAGAAATTAGAGAAAGTGCAAAGGTTTGCAACAAGACTAGTCCCAGACCTACGGGGATTGTCCTACGAAGAAAGGTTGAGGGAAATCGGCCTGACGACACTGGAGGACAGGAGGGTCAGGGGAGACATGATAACGACATATAAAAAATTGCACGGAATAGACAAGGTGGACAAAGACGGGATGTTCCAGAGATGGGACACAGACACAAGAGGTCACAATTGGAAGTTGAAGACTCAGATGAATCAAAGGGATGTTAGGAAGTATTTCTTCAGTCATAGAGTGGTCAGGCCATGGAATAGCCTAGAAAGGGATGTAGTGGAGGCAGGAACCATACATAGTTTTAAGGCGAGGTATGATAGAGCTCATGGGGCAGGGAGAGAGAGGACAAGATAAGATAAGATAAGATTTCGTTCGGATTTTTAACCCCGGAGGGTTAGCCACCCAGGATAACCCAAGAAAGTCAGTGCGTCATCGAGGACTGTCTAACTTATTTCCATTGGGGTCCTTAATCTTGTCCCCCAGGATGCGACCCACACCAGTCGACTAACACCCAGGTACCTATTTGCTGCTAGGTGAACAGGACAACAGGTGTAAGGAAACGTGTCGAAATGTTTCCACCCGCCGGGAATCGAACCCGGGCCCTCCGTGTGTGAAGCGGGAGCTTTAGCCACCAGGCCACCGGGCCTGGAAATCAGCGAAGAGGCGGGGCCAAGAGCTGTGACTCGACCCCTGCAACCACAAATAGGTGAGTACAAATAGGTGAGTACACACACACACACACACACAACTTCTGGTTCAAGACAATGAAGTTGAACACATCTCCAGTGCTGCATGCAAAGAGTATGTACCCTTATTCGGAGCATGTGAACACACTCACATAGGCTGCCTCAGCAGCCAGCGAACCAGGTAACTAAGGGTCGGACGATCGGGGCCCCATCGTCAGATCAGTTCATTATGTACCATTATTATAGTCACAGGACAGCAGGTGCAAGGAGACTTAACCTAGTACATATCTCAGCGTATATAAGCCAAGAGATACTCACCTAATTCACCTAATTGTAGTTGCAGGGGTCAAGTAATAGCTCCTGGCCCCGCCTCTTCAGTGAAAATGAGAAGTACTCACCTAATTGTGGTTGCAGGGGTCGAGTCATAGCTCGTGTATCACTCTGTATGTACATTGAGAGGTGCATCTCTCTCAGTGTATATACAGTGAGAAGCGCATATTTCTCAGTGTATGTATCCCGAGAGTCTTAATCCTCCCTGGCTGGTGTTGTATATGTGGCGTGCAACTTTAATGACCCTCGTGTAGTGGATAGGCTTCAAACCCGATAAGCAATTTCCTTGAAGGTCCTCGTGTGACGCTACACACTTACACCCATCTGTTAACCACGTCTTGTAAAAAGTACGTCTGTTGACCTTGGAAAAGTACGTCTTATGAAGTTCCTAAATCCACGTTTTCCACCAGCTCTGAGAACTAATATAATAATATATAATATCTTTATTTCTACAAGTACATGTAAAAGGTATATAGACCATAGCTGACATCAGTGACATACTATTATGTAGAAAGCCGCTTGTTATGTAGAGCATTTCGGGCAAATTAGGTCAATTTTGTCTCCAGGATGCGACCCACACCAGTCTACTAACACTCTAAGTACCTATTTTACTGATGGGTGAGCATGGACAACAGGTGTAAGGAATCACGCCCAATGTTTCTACCCTTGCCGGGAATCGAACCACTGACCCTCAGCGTGTGAAACAAGAGGTTTTCCTACAAGGCCACGGGCCATAACTACGTCGCCTCCACTAGCTCTGAGAACTACGTCGTCTCCACCAGCGCTGAGAACTACATCGTCTCCACCAGCGCTGAGAACTACGTCGTGTTCACTAGCTCTGAGACTTACGTCGTCTCCACCATCTCTGAGACTTACGTCGTCTCCAACAGCGCTGAGAATTACGTCGTCTCCACCAGCTGTGAGAACTACGTCGTCTCCTCCAGCTGTGAGAACTACTTCGTCTCCAGCACTGAGAACTACGTCGTCTCCACCAGCGCTGAGAACTACGTCGTGTTCACCAGCTCTGAGACTTACGTCGTCTCCACCATCTCTGAGACTTACGTCGTCTCCAACAGCGCTGAGAATTACGTCGTCTCCACCAGCTGTGAGAACTACGTCGTCTCCTCCAGCTGTGAGAACTACTTCGTCTCCAGCACTGAGAACTACGTCGTCTCCACCAGCTCTGATAACTACGTCTCCTCAAGATTGAAAGCTGCCTTATTGGCTATTTTATGCTTTATGTCTCTCTACGTGTGCCACAGCTCATCGCGGCGAAAAACCCCAACTACGATTCTCTTAATCCAAGGAACTGGAGCTATTCTCTCCTTTCTTGAATCAAATTTGATTGGTCTGGCATTTCCCAAAATAGTCTCAATGGATATTATCCTTCCTCACGAATATAAAAACAATAATAATTAATACGGGCTTCGTTAGTCACTCACCTTCATGTGGTGAACATCGATGTACTTCGATGTTCCTCCTGTATCTGCCGCAACTTACCCAAGGGTGTGAGTGACGCTGTTATACTCTGCGTCGTTGTATGGTCCCTTCCTGTGATGAATGCTGGTGATGGCCCCTCCTGTGATGGGTACTAGTGATGGGCCCCCCTCCGTGTGATGGGTGCTGGTGATGGTCCCTCCCTGTGACAGGTACTAGTGACAGCTAGGGACTCCTGAAGACAATTTCAGTACCAGTTCTCCGAGGCAGATGCAACAGATCTTATGGGATGGAATTCTAAAGCTACTGTAGGCACTGGGTGATGCAAATGGGGCAGGTGTGGAGGACAGGCGCAGGTATAGAGAGTGATGGATGTGTATATATATGTGTGATAGGCAAGGCGTGACGCCTGACTAGTGCTCTTTCAGGCGTCGCCTCGCTTACATACCTAGTGGGTGGAGGCTCCCTGTAGCACGTCAAGCACGTGTCGGCCACGGTACGCAGGCGCCTCCGTACCCTATAACAGTCCTCACCTGCCTGGCCACACACTCGCCCACACAATCATAGCTCAGGTATGCGAACCCATCCGAGGAATTGAAACTCCTTCCCTCTTTCTCGGGTTAAAATGTATCGTATGATCCTTACATGTCTAGCGCCTTCCCTTGAACATAATACTAAAAGTAACCCTCAATGACCAAACGCGCGCGCGCGCGCGTGTGTGTATGAGGTATGTAAGGGCGCGTCAACTCTGAGCCGTCAGCTGCTTCACTTCCCGACACCCGACCCAGATCATCTTCCCTTTCAGTAATGACCAAAAATTGTGTCTTTAATACCATCAATTTATCCTCAATAGGCTTGAAAAAAATACACTGTTGCCCTGAAGGCGATTTTTGATGAGGTGGATGGCTTGCAGAGCAGTGAGTAAATGATTGATGTGGATTCTTCCTCGTGTGGGGAGGAGGATTTAAGAGCCCCCTCACTGCTTACGCCTTATCGAACCCTTGACTTAACCCTCATCCCGGGTCCTATTGTAACCATAACAAACACTCTCTAAATTAACGGTAATTGTTTGTCATAGGCACGGCGCCCCTCAAAGGAATCTTGGAAAATATTTTGCGGCGATCTCTATTAATATTTTTTTCCCGAGCTTTCGCTTTCTGTATATTTTTCGGTAAAACAGAAAATGAGGACCGTTTGTCGGCATGCGAAAGGAATAGTGCAGGGTGGTCATCAAATTCTCATGCAGCCAAATATATAAATATGCGTATGTATGTGCTCATGTCTGTGTATATGTGAACAATATGTGTGATTTTTGTATGTATGTCATGTATACGTGTCAATGTATGGTATATGGACGACTACAAGAGTTTCACGGTTTAATAATGTGTTCAATAAGTGAGACTGGTGTTCAGGGAAGGTGTTCTTCAGTTGTTCAGCCTGACAGACACCTGGCTGTCTTCAAGAGGGAGCTGGACAGGCACCTCAAGTCAGTACCTGACCAGCCGGGCTGTGGTTCGTACATTGGTTTGCATGCGGCCAGCAGTAACAGCCTGGTTGATCAGGCCCTGATTCAGGGCGAGGCCTGGTCATGGACTGGGCCGCTGGGGCGTTGACCCCAGAACACCCTCCAGGTATACTCCAGGTATACTCGTATCATGGGTAACAAAGCCCCACTTTAAAATCTTGGTACAGCACACTGATGATGAGAGTTTGAAGCCGACCAGAAGAGTCATTCTCCAGTAACTACACGAAATCGAACGATTCCACGATTATTAAGTATATAGACCATTTTTTCAGATTTGCACGAACACAGCCTAAGCCTACAGGCATCAATAAATTTAGCCAACTGGTGCCTACATACTCTCATAACAATTTTAATCTCCTCAGTAGGATTTACCAGTACTGGTGATTATCCCAGGATTCTTCTAAGCAGGATTTACCAGTGTTGTAAATTTTAAGCCAATCGGCAGGGTCTTTCTCAAGGTATCGCCAGGATAAGATAACCGAGAATAGTCTACATAAAACTGATCAGGAAACACTTGCACTGGCCAATAGCTGCAATAATCTTTACCTAGACACAACACACCAGGGTTGAAATTTTGAAACCGATCGGCTGAGGCGTTCTGAAGCTATAATCGAAAATCTTGAAAGGGGAAAAAATCTGATAATTTTTAGAGGTAACATTACCTTTATAATTTGTGTATAACTGCAGATAAACACAAGTGTTTAACTTAATGTTTATTGTTTGTCAGATGTAGCAGTGAATGCCAGGTGAACTGTACACTTGATCATAACACTGGCCGTCACACTCACGTCACAGTGTGACGTTACTTGTTACCTACCTGGGGAAAGATGGTGGATCAAAGATAATGGACAAATATATATATATATATATATATATATATATATATATATATATATATATATATATATATATATATATATATATATATATATATATATATATAACTATATGCTCAGGTAGGTTACACTACAAGAATAGTGAGTGTAACTTGGGCAAAACAAGGCCACAGTGATTATTAATTAGACATATGTTCAACATTTGGATGTCTTTATTTATAGACATTTCGCCATCCAGTGACCATCACGGTAAGTATGTAGACACTTATACAAAAGATCAGTCCCTCGGCACCGTAGTCTTGAAGACTACGGTGCTCCAAGACTACGGTGCTCCAAGACTGAGGGACTGATTACCTCATCTTACGTATATAGTTCTCCATTCTTCACATTATATCCTTGAAATGTATTGATGAAGTCACATGACAGCGATACGTCTACATATAAAAATACCCAGATGTTGCACATGTGTCTAATTCTTCATATTATGGGTATAATATACCATACGTGTACACACAGTGATCACTGCTGCCCACCGCAGCTCAGCTTATGAGAATTCATGACGAGTCACCTCCGAATCAGGAACAATTTTCACTGGTAGTGGTGATGGTGGAAATGGTGGTGATGGTAGAGGTGGTTTAAAGCTTATCGACTACACGAGGGTCATTCACGGCTGCATATCCCCTAAGCACCACCAGTCAAGAATACTTTAATAAATGATGGAAGGTAATGGTGGGGATGGTGGTTGAGGTGGTGATGGAAGGTAGTGGTGGGGATAGTGGTTGAGGTGGTGATGGAGGGTAGTGTCGCTGCCTAGAATGCAAATTGAAAAATAAATATAGTTTCCTCGTATGTATAGATAGATAGATAGATAGATATAAAGTGTGAAATGTTTCTGTAGTGGAGCCAAATACTATACACAGCTTCAAAAGAAGGTACGCTTGGGTCATGAGGTCAGAAATCAATGAAACTTGTCGAAGCGAGTATTGTAGTCATAAATAGACTCCCTGCAAGCACAAGATGAGTACACCTAGGTGAGTACACCTAGGTGAGTACACCTAGGTGAGTATTCCTAGGTGAATAGTGTGGGGACTGTTGTGTTAAGATGTGTGTGAGAAAGGTGGTCAACCACAGGGTGATACTAGATGTACACACACACACACACACACACACACACACACACACAGGAGCTGTGATTCGACCCCTGCAACGACAACTAGGTAAGTACACACATACAGGGACCCATCCCCCTCTGAGATAAAAAAAAACACGTAAGATAATGTGAGATCAAATAACATCTTCACTAACAGCATATACATAACTTATATTTTAATCCCTAACCATTATTAAAATATATATAATTAACGAAGTGAGCTCACAGTGTGGAAACTGCAAGGGAACAGTTTAAAACATTAGCTATGTGGAACCCCGGCACAGCCCGACTCGTCTGCAGAAGACGCGACCTCTTCCATGTACACTACACTGCGGCAGGATTACCTAAATATTGTATGTGGTCGTGATTATTTTTTCTCAGTAAGTTGGAAGAGGGGGGAGAGGGGATCATGTCCTTAAACGCAGCAAATTTCGTGGCTAAGTTCAACCTGGCCTCCTGTGGGTTAATACTTCTTCTATGTTACTAAGCTCTTGGCCACCGTCTCTGTAGACCTGTGGACCCGAGGCTCCGCCACTGTAGATCTGAGGATTTGAGACTTCACTTCTATATGCTGGTGGATTTGAGGTTCCACCCCTGTATGCTGGTTGATTTGAGGCTCCACTAACGTAAGCCGACTGATTTGAGGTTCCACTAACGTAAGCCGGCTGACTTGAGAAGCCTTGTGGTACTCTAACATTATGTGGTCTTGATACTTGTTCGACATGCGTGTCGACGTAGTAGTCAGCAGCGTCTTCCTGATACTGTTGATACTGTGGTCGAGTGTGAGGTAGACTGTCAAGGTAAGCATGGGTAGGCCGGTGCTTCTGCTGGTGGTGCTGCTGGGGAGAGGGGCTTGCTACTGCTGCTGGGGACGCCACCCCGCGGTCAGGGTCCACTCCGGCGACCCCGTGCTCGAAGCCCTCAGGGTAGTATCGGTCAGCGTAGGTCTTGTTAGTGCCGCTTTCACCGTCCACCTCCTTGTAGAGGAACTCGTTCACGAAGTGGAACTTGGAGGATCTCTCGCAGATGTTGTCCTCGGAGCGAGGTATACAGATGAGGTGTACCTGCAAACATACGTCATCTTAAAAGGAAAATCAACAACTCACTGCAGAGTGACATGGGTTTATTACTGACACCTTCTGCCTTGACCCAGAGAACTCCCCCTCCTATCTGTTGCTGTCTTGCAATTTTTGCATAGCTCCTGACGACGCACGAGTGTGCGAAAGATCTAGATTATTATGGTTTCGTGCATTGCTATGTCATGTTCTAGAAGATTTTAAGTCTCTAACACCGTCTATATATAATTTAAGCTGAATCATCTGTACATGTATGGATTTTTAGAGGTCACCTACCTGAGGTGACCTACCTGATGGAAGTGACCTGCCTGATGGAATGATGCTTCCCTGGGTCACTGTAACCTACACGATGGAAGGACGCACCCTGGGTCACTGTAACCTACCTGATGGAAGGACGCACCCTGGGTCACTGTAACCTACCCGATGGAAGGACGCACCCTGGATCACTATGACCTACCTGATGGAAGGAAGCACCCTGGGTCACTGTGACCTACCTGATGGAAGGAAGCACCCTGAGTCACTGTGACCTACCTGATGGAAGGACGCACCCTGGGGACACAGCCACGAGTGCTTGACACGGTCCTGGCAGTAGTGGAAGACTTCGCAGTCAACTTCCTCGTCAGCGTAGTAACCATTCTTCTTGTCAACGCAGGAGAAGTGTGAGCTGAGAAGGAGGACAGAGAGGCGATCAGGCTCCTCCTCTTCCTCCTCCTCTTCCTCCTCTTTCTCTTCTTCTTCCTCCTCTGAATAGTCGTATAAGATCCTGTACGGCTGCTCCTGAGACTCGGCCACCTCCATTGCATGATCTATCACGTTGTACTGGAAGAGTGTAATTACTAATTAAACGTCATTAACTACTTTACACTACATTAAACGCCACCAGGTGGGAGGATGACTGACAGTGTCAGCAGGTGGGAGGGTGGCTGGCAGTGTTAGCAGGTGGGGAGAGAGAGAGCGGTTAGAAAGTCAAGGAGCGAAGAGTCCAGTCAGAAATATCAACAAGAGAAAGTGCCTTAATTAAAGTTGTTTTAAGGGCTACGAGGGCTTATGTCTTATGAGTTCCTGTATGGTATTGAGAGGTGGCACTAAGACGTGACACTGACAGGTGGCACTGAGAGGTGGCACTGCCCTGTTTGTTGTTGCCTGGGGTGCCACCCACCTAGTACTAAGTTTATTTAGGCACAGGTACACATAAATACAATTCCACAAATTATCGTACAGTGTAACATATGTGTAAATTACGTAGGAGCTAAGATCCACTCACTCACCCACCCACACACACCCCACCCACGCACCCACACACCCACCCACACGACACACGCTGCTCCATCACGGAGGTGTGGGTAACCCTCGCCATTCCTCTCCACTCTAAGACAGACAAGAACCTTCCATTACGCGGTAAAATGTCAGCACAAAATTCTCTGAGTTATAGAACTGTGTCACGAAAGATCCTCCATACTCTTCCTTGAGTGTCATAAAGGATCCAACGCTAAGATATTTTAAGTAGCGCCCTCTGTGCGAGAAACAGAAGAAATATTTTTTATGTACACACCGTCTGGCTCCGTTTAGATTTAGATTTTGCCACCGAAGTGGCTAATTTATTGTGCAGCCCATATCCATCATGTGGACGGTAGCGCAAGAGCATATGGATACACATAAGGCCTAGGAACTAGGCCCCTAAAAGGTTAACAGGTGTACATATGGATTTATATCTACATATCTACAGTTCACTCATCTGTTACAAGCAAATTTAGGAAATTTGCTTAGTATATCTGGTATCTTATTTTCATTAATAAGATATCTTGACATGTCACATAGGTTATTATACTGTCTGTCTCTGTATTCCTCAATAAGTGGACAATTAAGCACATAGTGTTCAAGACAGTGACCATATGCCTGATCACATAATTTACATTTAGTTTGATCATCATCTGTGTGTCTCCCAAACTGCCAGAAGTACTTGTAACCAAGCCTAAGCCTGGCCACTACAACATCAGTCAGTCTGTTCACATTGCAAGTTGCTCCATAAACATACTTATCTACGTTCATGTTATCATAGTGGGTTATAGATCTACTCAGGCTTCTAACTGCATTCCTATAACAATCATCTTCATTATTTACTTCTCTCCTAATATTATTCCTAATGCTAGACACAGTTATACCAAAGTTATATTCTACATTCTCCTTCTGGGTACTCTTCTTGGCTAACATATCAACTTTATCATGAAGGAGTAATCCAATATGTAATGGGATCCATAGCAATTGTACATTAATTCCTTTGTCCCTGATTTTTGAGTATCTATACCTGGTTTTTACAATGAGCATGTTGTTGGAGTCATTATATGAGTCAAGAGCATTCAGTGATGACATAGAATCAGTAATGATGATAGAGTCAAGCTCAGTGTCATTAAGTTAGCTTTAGCGCCATTAGGATTGCAAACAATTCAGTTTGCAGTGTAGACGCCCAGTTGTTAATTCTTATGCCTAACTCAACAAGTTTATTATGGTTCTTAACTAGGGAGGTGGCACCAAGATGCAGTCCTGCCAGAAGACTCCTAGCTCTGTTTTAAGCTTCAGAACGGCAGAAATTTTTATGAAGCTCCAGGCAGATGTTTTGTCTGAATAAAAGTGTATTCTCCAACGTATGTTAGTAAATAGACAAGTAGGTATGTTATAAAGTAAGCAAGTAAGTAGGTATGCTGGTAAGTAAGAAATGTAAGTAAGTAGGTATGTTTGAAAGTAGGTATGTTAGTAAGCAAGTAAGTAGGTATATTAGTAAGCAAGTAAGTAGGTATGTTGGTAAGCAAGTAGGTATGTTAGTAAGTAAGTAGGTATGATAGTAAGTAAGCAAGTAAGTAAAAAGGTATGTTAGTAAGTAAGCAAGTCAGTAGGTATGTTAGTAAGTTTATTTTAGGTACACATACACCTAAGTACAATTATCATACATTGTGTAAATTATCTAGCCTAACTCCCCCCCCCTCCCCCCAAAAAAGGCAGAAAAAAGTGACTTATTTCCATTATTTATTCTTCATTATTGCCACCTGTACATACCAGTCCTCGTCTAGTTCCTTGGTTAATGGGGTTTGAAACCTATCGACTAGACTGTTTAGGCTGTACGTAATTTTTTCACCGCCAGTCAAGAATACTTTAATACCTAAAACAGAGATTATTGTAAACTCTCGGTATATATACCCTGAGACACACACACACACACACACACACACACGGGGCCAGGAGCTATGAATCGACTCCTACAACCACAACTAGGTGAGTGCATACACACACACGGGGTCAGGAGCTATGACTCGATCCCTGCAACCACACAGGTGTGGTATACTGTTGTTGCTGCTGAGTCGTTCCGCCACAACATCAGTCACATCAACGTCATCTTTCCTCCTCACTCATAAGTTTCTCCACAAATTTCCGTTTGGCTTTGTGAAAGTGTGCGAATTATTTAGCCGAGTAGGGTTGTGGTTCAGTGGGTAGTGATGTCGGCTCACACACGCAGGGACCGGGGTTCGCTCCCCGGAGGAGTGGAAGTCGGTCGCCCCCTTAACACATAGCGGTAAGTAGGTACCTGGCGGCATCCTGGGGGCGGGAAGTAAACAACCACAGTGGAAATGTGTCTGATGACTAACATCTTCCTCTTCATCTCCTACTTCTTCATCTTTATCTTCGTCTTCTTCGAATATAACAACGAACACAATGTTGATATAAAATGTTTGGAAAGAGAGAAAGAAAGAGTGAGAGAGAGAGAGAGAGAGAGAGTCAGTCAATATGACTTCCAGTAAATCCAGGGAAGGTGAGTTTGGTATCCACAGTAACACTGGGGCCTTGGCGCCGCCCGGCGCTCCTGGCAGACCCTCCTGACAGACCCTCCTGGCAGACCCTCCTGGCAGACCCTCCTGGCAGACCCTCCTGACAGACCCTCCTGGCAGATCCTCCTGGCAGACCCTCCTGGCAGACTCTCCTGGCAGACCCCCTGGGCAACCCTCCGACAGACCCCCCCTGACAGCCCCCCCTGGCAGACCCTCCCGGGAACCCCCGGGGAGACTCTCCGGGAGACCCCCCCTGAGACCTCCTACAGACTCTCTTTACAGCCCCCCTGAAAACCCTCCTGGGAACCCTCCTACAGACCCTCCTACAGCCCCCTGGGAACCCCCCTGACAGACCCCCCGACAGACCCTCCCGACAGACCCCCCTACAGACCCCCCGACAACCCTCCCGACAGCCTCCTGACAGACCCTCCTGACAGAAACCCCCCTACAGACCCTCCAGACCCTCCTGACGACCCCCCTGGGAGACCCTCCCACAGACCCTCCGACAGACCCCCGAAGAAACCCCCCTGACAGACCCTCCTGACAGACCCCCCGACAACCCTCCCGACAACCCCCCCTGACAGACCCCCTGACAGACCCCCCTGGGAGACCCCCCTGAAAAACCCTCCTGGGGACCCCCTGACAGAAAACCCCCTGACAACCCCCTGGGAGACCCTCCTGACAACCCCCGAAACCCTCCTACAGACCCCCCGACAAACCCTCCACAGACCCTCCTGACAGACCCTCCTGACAGGACCCCCCCTGACAGACCCTCCTGGCAGACCCTCCTGGGAGACCCTCCTGACAGACCCCCCGGGCCCTCCGACAGACCCTCCTGCAGACCCCCCCTGACAGACCCCGGCAGACCTCCTGGCAGACCCTCCGACAACCCTCCTGACGACCCTCCTGACGACCCTCCCCGAAGACCCCCTACAGACCCCCGACGACCCCCCTGACAACCCTCCTGACAGACCCCCCTGACAGGACCCTCCTGACAGACCCCTCCTGGCAGACCCTCCCGACAGACCCCCCGACAGACCCTCCGACAGACCCCCTGGGAGACCCTCCTGACAGCCCCCACAGACCCTCCTGACAGACCCCCTGGCGACCCCCCTGGCAAACCCTCCTGACAGACCCCCTGACAGACCCCCCTGACAGAAACCCCCCTGGCAGACCCCCCCTGACAGACCCTCCTGGGAGATTCCTGGGAACCCTCCTACAGACCCTCCTACAGACCCTCCTGACAGACCCCCTGACAGACCTCTGACAGACCCTCCTGACAGAAACCCTCCTGACAGACCCTCCTGACAGACCCTCCTGACAGACCCTCCTGACAGACCCTCCTGACAGACCCTCCTGGCAGACCCTCCTGACAGACCCTCCTGACAGACCCTCCTGACAGACCCTCCTGACAGACCCTCCTGCAGACCCCCCTGACAGGGCCCTCCTGACAGACCCTCCTGGCAGACCCCCTGACAGACCCTCCTGACAGACCCTCCTGACAGACTCTCCTGACAGACCCTCCTGACAGACCCTCCTGACAGACCCTCCTGACAGACCCTCCTGGCAGACCCTCCTGACAGACCCTCCTGACAGACCCTCCTGACAGACCCTCCTGACAGACCCTCCTGACAGACCCTCCTGACAGACCCTCCTGGCAGACCCTCCTGGCAGACCCTCCTGGCAGACCCTCCTGGTAGACCCTCCTGACAGACCCTCCTGACAGACCCTCCTGACAGACCCTCCTGGCAGACCCTCCTGGCAGACCCTCCTGGCAGACCCTCCTGGTAGACCCTCCTGACAGACCCTCCTGACAGACCCTCCTGACAGACCCTCCTGGCAGACCCTCCTGACAGACCCTCCTGACAGACCCTCCTGACAAACAATGTTTTACTGATAATAACAACAAAAGATTGTCAAGAATCTCCTTGCGCAAGTCTTGGGAAAAGTGCTGGTAATCCCGCTCTTGTTTCTTCACTAATTTCTGGACACGCTACGTGAGCCAGTGTTTCGCATTTTTTATTTTTTTCGATCTCTGTGTGATGCAATATATATTTCTCTCTCTCTCTCTCTCTCTCTCTCTCTCTCTCTCTCTCTCTCTCTCTCTCTCTCTCTCTCTCTCTCTCTCTCTCTCTCTCTCTCTCTCTCTCTGGAACTTCTGAGAAACAGTGAAAAGTGACTTTCTCAGCGAGCACAACACAGCACAACACAGCACAACACAGCACAACACAGCACAGCACAACACAGCACAACACAGCACAACACAGCACAGCACAACACAGCACAACACAGCACAACACAGCACAACACAGCACAGCACAACACAGCACAACACAGCACAACAGACCACAACACAGCAAGGTAACAACACAAGGTGTTCAGTGTTGACTCATGCTTCAAGCGCCTCTTGTTCACTTACATAATGTGAGATAAGTCATTACCATCTAATTACCGTCCAGCGAGACTGACCTCAATAGTTATGAAATTACCAGAATCAGTAATGGCGGCTGCAATTTAAAGTCACCTTGGTGGCAATAATTTGAGAAAAGAATCTGAACACAGTTTCACAAAGGACTGTTCTTTCATTTGTTTGATTCTTTCAAGGGAAATGGGGATGCCTTGATGCTGGTGAGAGGCTCTTGATCCAGGTACTTGCAGCTACCCTCTCTGTCTCTGAATCAAACTAGATTACCTCACGTTCTCCGGGTGATGTATAACCCCTGATGATCATCTGTATCATGTCATTTTCAGTGATGGTTCGTGATGAGTAAGGCGGTGTGTACATGGTCTTCATTAAGGCCTTTGACAGAGTTCCGCCTAGCAGACCGATAAAGATAGTAGCGGCACATGGTATTGCTGAAGAACTTCTCTCGTAAATCGTACAGAATGTGAAAAAGACTTGGGAGTCATGGTAAGCAGAAATCCGAAGCCAAGAACACAGTGCCTACGTGTGTGCAATAAGGTACTAGAAGCATGACTGACCGATAGACAATAATAGTTTTACGTAGACTGTGAGACATCAGAATGGGAACTTATCACATGTGATGTTCCACTGTTGAAGAAAAAATGACAGTAGAGGTTGAAGAATATTATATTCACAGTGGAAGTTGAAGGAGAGTAGCACAGAGTGAGTGAATTAAGAATGCGAGATATGGGAGGATAAACAATAATGTCCGTTTACACTGAAATTTTTGAGGCATTGTAACCAGCAGTTAGTTACACGTGTTCTCTGTTCACGTAAAATTAAAAGTGAAAATAAAGAGGTGTACTGAGGCATCAAGAGATCACTTACCAGAGGTAACTGGTTGGGGTGTGAGGGGCGACGATGAGGTTGAGAGGTAGAGTGACTGTTGTGTCGAGGTGCAGACACGACCTCCACCTTCTGCGTCTCCTGCTCGTACTGCTTGGGTCCTAACTGCTGGGGTGGCTCCTGCAGCCGCTGGCGTGTCCTCTCACCTGTTCGTGATCCCTGTGCTTGCGTCTCTTTTTGTTTCAGAGAATGGCGTGGAGGATGCTGTAGTTGCGACTCCTCTTCTTGTTGTGGAGTGACCTGAGGGATGATCTCTTCTGTGACCCCAGCGGGGTACTCCTCCTGTGAAGGTCGGGCATCCTGATCTTGTGAATCCAGGTGATGCAGGTCGTTGTGTGACTCTGATGACTGCTTTAGTGATGAGAAATCATCTAATTGCTGCTCTGCAGGAGGTCTTAAATGCTCGGAAGGAAGGTGCTGTTTAGAGTCTTCCCGTCCGGGCGCTGGAGAGTCCTGTCCGAATGCCGCTGAGTCCTGTCCGGGCGCCGCCGAGTCCCGTCCCGGTAACGCCGACTCCTCGCTGAAGAGTTGCGAGAAATCACCTCCTTCCAGTGCTTCTTCGTCTGCAGGTAATCTGACATCTACTGGCTGGAAGTGTGGGTTGTCGAAGTTGGGTCGAGGGTCGAGAGGCAAGTGGCCAGTGCCATGTTCTGGGCTGAACTGTGGGCCATATGGCTCAAAGCTCTCTTTAGTGGGTGGACCATGGAAGAGTGGCCCACTAGGATGTGGTAACAGCGGTGGCCCCTTCGATCCCACAGGTGGAGATGGGGATCCTCGAAGTCTAGGTGAAGGCGGCCTTCGTAGGAGGCCATGGGAGAAAGGTGCCACGTCGAGGAACTGTGGACGCTGTGCATGGCACTCAGGCACTGCTAACAGCAGTGCCACCGTCGCTGCCACCGTGAACACTCTCATCTTCTGCCGCCTGTGGGTTTAGGGCATCATTTCAGAGCATTTTAATCATTTATTGCAATCATTTAATTTAAAATGCCTTACTGTATTCATTTTCCTGATTACATATTTACTATTATAGATAGATAAATGTAAATTTGTGCTATTGTAGCTGTACAGAATAATAGACAATACTGACAGTTGATATGCCTATTGAATAGCAGTTTGCTAAATCTGAGGCCTACTGCCTGTACAGTGGACACTTTACAAACCAGCGAACTTATTTGCAAACATTATCTCTTAGTCCAGAGCAGGATTCGAACCTGCGCACACTGCATCAAAGTACGCAGGATTTTCGCCACACAGCCAAACCCAGGCTAAGGTCTCGTCTGCTTGTGTGGCGAAAATACCGTGTATCTTGACGCAGAGTACGCAAGTTCGAATCCTGCTCTGGACGAGAGGTAATGTCTGTAAAAACAATATTTATTTACGTAGTGCCCATCGTCACCTAGCAGTAAGTAGTTACCTGGGTACTGGCTTCAGTGTTGTCGGTCGCATCCTGGGAAGGAAGATCAAAGGGGCATATCTGTAATAAGCCACACGGTGTGGATTTCTTGGGTTATTCTGGGTTATTAATCCAGTTAGCTCTTTGTTGGTTTCCTAAATTAGATCTTACAGATCGAAAGAAAATTAAACGTAATCTTGTGGCTACGTGATAGTGTATATATGTGTGTGTAACTCTCTATTCAATCTGTAATTCACTTTCACCTCTCCCAGCAGTGTAGTTAGAGGAGTTCAGAACACACACTACCATCACAACACACAACACTATCACAACACACTCATCATAACACCGCGACACCATCACAGCACCACAACCCCATCAAAACACTATTACAACATCATCGTCACAACACGCCACGGTAAGAAAGGTTACAGACAGGTAGCGTTAAACTAGCCGGTATCATTTACATATATACTATAAATGCAAATATCGCGAACAAGCGATGTAAGATGCAAAACAACCACGGGGAGAGTTGAATGATAGCTATAGGACTTTCGCGTTGTAATTACACATCATCAGGAGCTTGCAGTGTTGAAGAAAACAGGAGGATGTCCCAACAAATACGATCACAGGGAGCGCCTGTGATCGTATCTGCTTGGATCTCCTCCTCTTTTTTTGCATCATTGCAAGCTCCTGATGATGTGTTGATTGCAACACGAAAGGCCTGCAGTTATCATTCAACTCCTCCGTGATCGTTTGGCATATACTATGGAATGTAGCACAGACAATAATCAGGAGAGTGGTGGTGCACTTGGAGAGAAAGGGTTTCGTGAACAGCAACCATCACACAGGTTTTAAAATGGTAAATCCTGTCTCACGAAGCTGCTGGGGTCTTATAACCGGGTAACAGACGTTAGGTAGGAAATAGAGACTTGGGTAGACTGCAACATGTCCTCAGAAAGCAAACCATGACGTACAAGAGCTCATTGGGATAACAGGAAAATCATTACAGGAGCTCAAAGAATTATTAAGCGAAATGAGACAAGGAATTATAGTATTGGAAGGGGAACCAGAATGGAGAAGCGTAAAAAGTGGGGTTCCCGAAAGATCAGTGCTGAGCCTTGTAATGTTTCTGATACATGGGAGCGGCATGCCAGAAGAGACAATTTATATATCCTTCCTCATATATGACGTGAAATTAAGGCGAATAAAAATCGATGAATAACGTGGAAAGACTACAACATAACCAAGACAAACCGCAGGATTGGTTAGACAAGTGATTACTAGAATTAACCCACAACAAATGTAACGTTGTGAAAATTGGGAGTGAAGCAAGAAGGCCAGAAACTGAGTACAGACTCGAGAAAGAGAGGCAGCAAATCTCACTGAAGGAGGACATACATGTAGGTGTGAACGTGTCACCACACTTAGCACATGGACGCTTTAGTCGCTGCAGTGATTGTTCCCTTAGTGTGTCTAAGATTAGCTTTCATGGAACCTCCACATGAACATTCAAGGTCCTTTATATGACATATATCAGACGCATCATGAGGTACGAAGCACCAACATGGAACCCACCAACATGTCAAGACGTTAGAGAAGGTACAAAGTCTCGCAGCCAGACTAGTCTCGTAGCTCGAGGGAAATGGTCTATGAAGAGAGACTAAAAGAGCTAAATTTAATGACACTAGAGCATAGATGGAACTGGGAAGACATAACAGCACACGAAATACTCAGAGGACTTGACTGGGTGCCGAGAAACAGGTAAACGAGAACGCAAGTGGAAGCTGAAGAAACAAATGAGTCTCAGAGGTGTCAGGAAATGTTTCTTCATCCCCAGGGTGGTCAGAAAGTTGAATAACCTGCACAAAGATGTTGAGGAGGCAGACTTCATACGCACAGCTGTAAGAATATGTATGACAGAGCCCACGAGGTTAGGAGATGGAGAACCCAGTCATGGCCGGTTAAGTGTCGAGGCCAGGAACTGAGAAGGAACATTATAGCTGTATTATGCACCCCATACCCATGATGTGAGTGGTAGTCAAGAGACTACAGTGGGGCATAATGCGCCCAGGGACTGGGTCTCGAGGCTCTGATAACTAAGCAAGTTACAGTGGTGATGAATTATTGACATGTCTTTGATCTGGGCTGGGATGAGAAGACTCGTTCCAGCCACAAATAGGCAAGTACAGCATCGTCACAACACAGTTAAAACACCGTCAGAAGGCCACAACACCGTCAGAGGACCACAACACCGTCAGAAGGCCACAACACCGTCAGAAGGCCACAACACCGTCAGAAGGCCACAACACCGTCAGAAGGCCACAACACCGTCAGAAGGCCACAACACCGTCAGAAGGCCACAACACCGTCAGAGGATCACAACACCGACAGAGGATCACAACACCGTCAGAGGACCACAACACCGTCAGAGGACCACAACACCGTCAGAGGACCACAACACCTTCAGAGGACCACAACACCATCACAACGCAACACCATCACAACGCAACACCCACCGTGCGGGACGATAACGTCGAGCAGTAAAGGTTTTCCGTCACTTGACTTCTTAGGAGGCACTGACTACTGCAGCTTTCACCTCACACGCGCCTTTAAATAACTGCGCTTTTGAGAAATTTGTCTACTGGACCCGCCCCTCTTGCTGCCCGGGAGGGAGGGAGAGACGGATGGAAAGAGAGAGGGACTGAAGAATGGAGATAGGGATGGATGTAAGGAGAGAGTGAACAGAAGGATGAGCTCGCACGACCACTGGACACCCGGAGAAACAGGTAAAAAAAAAAAAAAAAATTCTCAGAGATGACGTTTCGCTTCGTGTGGATTTAGACAGAGCGAAACGCTGGCCTCCCCAGTGAAAGAAGTTCTGTAACATGGTTCTTGGTCTTGATGCCAGCCAACAGTGCCTTGTTTCCTTCCCCGGAGGTGCCATTGTAAGCCAGTCTTATCAAGGCCATTCAGCCGATATAACAACAGACAGCTACACACACACACACACACACACACACACACACACACACACACACACACACACATACACACACACACACACACACACACACACACAGCCATTTTAAAACGAGGTAAACTTACCAGACAACAACTTAATCCCTGAGTTCAGCCGTGAATAATTTATCACACAAATAGCTTAGAAAACCGGCAAGTTGACGAACGAGACACTAGTGCAACATTTGGGTATCTTTATTGTGGCAACGTTTCGCCACACAGTGGCGAAACTCTCCGCCTCTATGTAGTGTTTTTTTTAACCTCTCTGTGTTAGAAGTGATTAAGGTCCAAGGAGCAAAACGTTGTCTAATAAGTATGTCCTAATGTTTGCTTACGTGTTTTTCTAAACCAATTTATGGGTATAAGACCATAAGAAAGAATGAACACTGCAGCAGGCCTACTGGCCCATGCGAGGCAGGTCCAAGTCTCCTACCGGCTTAAGCCAATGCCCTATTGCCAAAGTTTATGCCATATACTCATGCACTATTCGCTCAGCTAGATCTGCTTGTGACTCACTGTATGGGCGAAACGTAGACAATAAAGAATCACATTATACTGCACTGTGTCTACTGTACCTTTTAAAGGATCATAAACTCCCCATGACGTTTAGAAACTGACGAAGTGTAGAGACAACTGATCCCTTATTTCTCCTTTACTCTTCCTTTTTTCTAATTCCTCCCTTCTCCCTTCCCCCCAATCTTCCCTCCTTCTTGCTCTCCCTTCCCCATTCTCTTCCCCAATAACCCCCCAAAACGAGGGGAGACATGGCTGCAGTATACACGTGGAAGACAGGTATAAAGGGAAGAATATTTCGGCATTGATGACAGCCGGTCACGATACTCTAAATAATGGACTCAGGTTGAAAATGAAAATAAAAATGTTTATTACCTTGCAAAGGTTGCAATGTGTAGTTTACATATTATAAAATATTAATTAAAAGGAGGGTCTCTAGCATGCCTAGGCATTTCGGGCAGACTAATCCTAATTCTTACTCTATATTGGGTCATTTAACATAGAAAGGATGTAGGAAAGGGAGGATTTACCAACCGAGCTGCAGCTGAGTGGTACGAACTGCGAAGCTTCGGTTAGTTTTTAAGAATATAAATGGCAGGCTTGGTCGTGGACTGGGCTGCGGGGGGCGGTGACCCCCGGGACACCCTCCAGGTATGCTCCAGGTATAGCTAAGATGAATGAGAATGTTTGGGTTTTGAGTAAGACCTACCTATCATGGACCAACCCTGTTCTCATTTTCTTAAGAAGAAATGTTTCATTAAGGTACTCTTCACGTACACGCGTGTGAACACAGCCACGAACGGTGCGTGACTCTACGTACATGAGCGTACACTTTCTATGCACGAAAGTAAAAATAAACGGGAAGGCTTTTCATTTAATTTCTACTCGTTAACTTCAAATTTTCCGTTTAAAATGTATTTATCGTGCAGACGTGTGTGTAGCAGTGTGTGAGCAGGTGTTATCTGTGGCTCTCAACACCTGTACACGTGGTGTAACACCTGTTTTTTGTGGTGATTCTGTAACCCGTTCATCAGGAATGTGATGAGAGAGACACACGTATTTTACTCTCTCTCTCTCTCTCTCTCTCTCTCTCTCTCTCTCTCTCTTGTGTAGGTCACGCTGACTAGTTTAAGGTCATGTGTGTATATGCTGTTGTGTATCTGTGTATGTTTGTGTGTGTATATATGTGTGTGCATCTATGGATATATATATATATATATATATATATATATATATATATATATATATATATAATATATATATATATATATGCAAGGAATTCGCAAGAGCAGGCGAAATATACACAAACACTGATATCTGGCTGAAGGAGACTCGAACCTACGAACCTTAGAACAAGGTACGTAGTGCTATACCAAACTCACCACACTGGACCAATACCTTGGAGTCCAGCTTGCGCTAGACTTTGATCCACGGCAGCCAGCTTTCAGGGAGAAGGCTTACAGCTTTTCATCTCATCGCCTGCATGCATCAGCCTTACTGACAGCTGGCTGCCTTGGATCAAAGTCTAGCGCAAGCTGGACTCCAAGGCATTGGTCCAGTGTGGTGAGTTTGGTATAGCACTGCGTACCTTGTTCCAAGGTTCGTAGGTTCGAGTCTCCTTCAGCCAGAGATCAGTGTTTATATATATATATATATATATATATATATATATATATATATATATATATATATATATATATATATATGTGTGTGTGTGTGTGTGTACTCACCTAGTTGTGATTGCAAGGGTCGATTGATTCATAGCTCCTGGCCCCGCCTCAGGGGCTGGGTCAGGCATGTGTGTGTGTGTGTGTGTGTGCTATCACCTATTTGTGGTTGCAGGGGTCGAGTCACAGCTCCTGGCCACCGACTCTTCGCTGGGGTGTGTGTGTGTACATGATAGTGGGCTATTATCAACAGCACTGCAGGTATTGCCTGCAGCCCACACAAACGTTTCTCGCAGCTAGTGGCAAGTCCTGGCAAGCCCTGGCAAGCCCTGGCAAGCCCTGGCAAGTATCGCGGCCACAAAACAACCTTACAAGGAAAGTATCAAGAGTCACAACACACTGGCTGTTGCCGACCCAGAAAACTCGCACTTGGGATATAAACCTCGTTACGACATTTCGATCCGTCCAACACCAGCTGTGACTTGACAGCGGTGCAGGAAGGACCCAAATGTTCCTCTCTTGAGTGAGAGTTTTGGTGAAATGGAAAAATATCAGTCCCAAAGTAACGCGGCTGTGTCCCGAGTACAGCGTTCAGAGTATAGCGTTCAGAGTACAGCGTTCAAAGTACAGCTTTCAGAGTATAGCGTTCAGAGTACAGCGTTCAAAGTACAGCTTTCAGAGTACAGCGTTCAGAGTATAGCGTTCAGAGTACAGCGTTCAGAGTACAGCGTTCAGAGTATAGCGTTCAGAGTATAGCGTTCAGAGTACAGCTTTCAAAGTACAGCTTTCAGAGTATAGCGTTCAGAGTACAGCGTTCAGAGTACAGCGTTCAGAGTACAGCGTTGAAAGCATGAAGATAGCACAACATACAGTATCTTGTAGGAACTTTAAGCTTTGCTGCTGACAGCAGCGTTCATATATAACGTTGTGGTGGTGCATACAGCTGGCTGAGAGACACCCATGCATCTGTGTGTATGTAAAAACACTTACAGATCTCAGTGGGATTCGTACCAATGAACCTGCTACGCTGGTCCTGTGGATGGTGTCTTGATTGATCAGGTTGTTGGTACCGGCCGCCAGCAGTCCAACTTCTGCACCACAGCCCGGCTGATCAGGAGCTGATTTAAGGAGTTTATCGAATTTTCTCATGAAGATAGCCAGGGGTCTGCTGGTGAGCCTCCTTATGCTTGAAGGGAGGGTTTTGAACAGTCGTGGTGCCTTTAAACTTACTGAATTTCGTAGATGAGTTGATAAAGCAATAGATAGCTTCACCTAATGCGTTGATATGTTCATCTGGGGAGACTTTTCCTCGTGACTTGGTTGGTAGCGTCCTCAGCTTACACACTGAGGTTCCGGGGGTCGATTCCCTGTACGGGTGGAAACGACGGGCGTGCTTCCTTACACCTGCTGTCCCATTTCACTTAGCAGTAAGTAGGTACCTGGATGTTAGCCATCTTACACCTGCTGTCCCTGTTTACCTAGCAGTTAGTAGGCACTTGGGTGTTAGTCGACTGTTATGAATTGCATCCCGGGGACAAGATTTAGTGTGTGTATATATATATGTATATGTATATGTATATATATATATATATTATATATATATATATATATATATATATATATATATATATATATATATATGTGTGTGTGTGTGTGTGTGTGTGTGTGTACTCACCTAACTGTACTCACCTAATTGTGGTTGCATGGGTCGATACTCAGTCCTGGCCCCGCCTCTTCACTGATCGCTACTAGGTCCTCTCTCTGCTTCCAGAGCTTTGTCATACCTCGTCTTAAAGCTATGTATGGTTCCTGCCTCCACTACATCACTTGTTAGGTGTGTGTGTGTGTGTGTGTGTGTGTGTGTGTGTGTGTGTGTGTGTGTGTGTGTGTGTGTGTGTGTGTGTGTGTGTGTGTGTGTGTGTGTGTACTCACCTATTTGTGGTTGCAGGGGTCGAGTCACAGCTCCTGGCCCCGCCTCTTCGCTGATTGCTACTAGGTCCTCTCTCTCCCTGCCCCATGAGCTCTATCATACCTCGCCTTAATTAAAACTATGTATGGTTCCTGCCTCCACCACATCACTTTCTAGGCTATTCCATGGCCTGACTACTCTATGACTGAAGAAATACTTCCTAACATCCCTTTGATTCATCTGAGTCTTCAACTTCCAATTGTGACCTCTTGTGTCTGTGTCCCATCTCTGGAACATCCCGTCTTTGTCCACCTCGTCTATTCCGCGCAGTATTTTATATGTCGTTATCATGTCTCCCCTGACCCTCCTGGCCTCCAGTGTCGTCAGGCCGATTTCCCTCAACCTTTCTTCATAGGACAATCCCCGTAGCTCTGGGACTAGTCTTGTTGCAAACCTTTGCACTTTCTCTAATTTCTTGACGTGCTTGACTAAGTGTGGATTCCAAACTGGTGCTGCATACTCCAGTATGGGCCTGACGTAGATGGTGTACAGAGTCCTAAACGAATCCTTACTGAGGTATCGGAACGCTATCCGTAGGTTTGCCAGGCGCCCGTATGCTGCAGCAGTTATCTGATTGATGTGTGCCTCAGGAGA